CAACCTGATGAATACAAATCTGCCTTTCAACAAGATGAACAGGCTTTAACAAGCGGCATTCCTGCAGGAACATTTTGTTTTTGTGAAGCTGGTGGAGAATCAAACAACTTCCAGCACTGCTCTTCCCTGCCCTGCCCCATCCTACACTCACTCACCAGTCACACCCACAGTGGACATGGGGCCCACACGGTGGCCCTGGTGGAGCCCATACAGGTGCATCTTGTACTTGCGTCCAGGCTCCAAGTCCTCAACAGTGGCTTCTCTCTCTTCTCCTCCAACATGTACCACCTGGGGCCGCCCATCCCTGTCTTTGTACTGGATGGTGAAGGAGTCAAAATGGCCCTGGGTCACAATCCATGAGAGGCTCAGGGAGTCAGGGGAGGAGTCTGTCACTGTCAGCTCCCCCAGGAGTGGCTCCTCGGTGGGTTCTGGGGCTTCCATGCTGGGTTCTGTGGGGCTGGGAGTATCCTCCACAACCTTCCGTGGGGCTAAAAGAAGAGACAGAAGCAAAGGTGACTTACTTCACTAGTGTCATTGATACATATGGAGAAGTACATCCAGGAGATATGCTTCTCAAGTCAAAGGCTCAGAGGCTTGGGTAGCCTTTGGTATTAGCCATTCAGTCATTCATAGTTGGAGGGAGCTGAGCCAGCCCCCACGCCTATCCTGTCCTGTTGGCAGTGGTGCATGGTTACAAATTTTCAGAAAACAAATGGGACATAGGTGTCAGGAGCCAAAATAGTGCTCATTTCCTTTGACCCAATAATCCCATCCTGGGCATCTGTCCTAAGAAAATTATTAAAAGCAGGAAAAAGTTATAGCATGGAAGAATTCATAATGGGATTATTCATGGCAGCAAAATGTGTCAGGAAACCAAACGACCTGGAAAAGATGATTAATTTTGTTACAGAGCTTTCACCACAAAGCATCAAATAACCATTAAAATGATGATTAATAAAGGTTGTGTAGCTGCCAGGTAAATGATTACAATGTAACTGTGTACAAAAAATTAAAAGCCAAAATTTAAATGAATATTCTTGACTGCAACTTCAAAACACATACTTGTATGCAAAATGCAGAAAGGGAATATGTGTTATACACATAGTTTTTGGTTTGTTTGGAGGGGGGCTCATGCATGCTAGGCAAATGCTCACACTGTTATTTACAGCAGTTATTGGGTCAAAGGTAGGATTATGAGTTTTTTCCTATTTTTCCATAATGCTGCTACAGTTCTTTTCACTATAAAAATGTAGATTTAGAAAGAAATTCTGCTTGAGTATGGTAACGCATGCCTATAACCCCAGCAACTAGGGAGGATGACGCAGGAGGATGGCAAATTGGAGGGTGACCTTAACAACTTAGGAAGACCCTGTCTCAGAATGAAAACTAAAAAGGTCTGGGGATGTAGCTCAGTGGTAAAGTACCCTGGATTCAAAAGAAAAAAAAATTAAAAAAGAAATTTTGTATTATAAAAAGTAATAATTGAGGGCTGAGGTTGTGGCTCAGTGGTAGAGCACTTGCCTTGAATGTGTGAGGCACTGGGTTCAATTCTCAGCACCACATAAATAAAACACAAAGGTCCATCAACAACTAAAATAAATAAATAAATAAAATTTTAAAGAAATAATAATTGAGAAGGGGGTGGGATTGAAGAGCAATGCAGATAGAACAGGAAGGCAGGGGACATGGACCCCTTACACTGCCCCGTCTTCCTAGGGAATGCTGTGATTTGCCAGGATAGGGGATAAGAAAATACACAACTGATGGTGCATGAGAATTAACAGCTTAGTGCAAATTTTTCTGATGTTCATTTTCCAATGACTCCTCTGTTCTCCTTGTCCTCCCATTCCACACACAGATGATTTGCTGAATACACGTATAAGAACAAGGCCTGTCCCCATGGGCAGGGAGCCTGAGGAAGAACAGTTCCTCCATCTAGATGATCACCAGGACATGACAGTACCTGTCCCAAACCACAGTCCTAGGGCAAAGAGGCAGCCATCTGCCCTCCACAAGATGACTCTCAGAGGGTGGGGCCTTCCAGATCTGGGAAACTCTTAAGAAATTATCTGAGGCAGCCATCAGAATCTGGCTGAGAATGACTTGGAAAAGGCAGCCTGATGCCCTGTGGGATTCCAATTCACCTTGTGATTTGTTCCTCACTTTCTTGTGGACTGAATTTAACTTTGTCATAATTAGAAATGAAGTAAGTTTCCAGAGTGACAGGGAAGAAGACAGATGGAATACAAAAAGAAGACATTGTAATTCTCTGCTTTTTTCTGATTATAAAAAAAAATGCCTAGAGAAAGAAAAAAGAAATGCCCTCATTTAAGAAAATTTGGACAATGCAGAAAAGAATAAAACAGAAAAATAAAACATGCTGGAACACTCCATTCTGTCTAACAAATCATATACCCATGGGATGTATTTCTTCCCAGTCTTCTTGCCATGCCTGCTATTTTCAAATAGCTGTGATTAGCATCTTTACAAAAATTTGGGCCTCTGTGTTTTCAATGGAACATAAGAAAGTCATTGTTTTATGTAAAACATTTTCAATGGCAGTATAATAGCTCATTTTAAAGCTATTCACTAAGTTATTCAGTCATCCGAATATGGCTTGATGTTGGGTTGTTTCTTTTGTGTGTGTGTGTGTGTGTGTGTGTGTATGTAGTTATAATAAAGAATCCCATAATTAAGATGGAAAGAAAAGAAAATTCTGGTAAATCCAGCTTGGCCTGTGCCTGACATATATCACTGTTGGAGGTGGCAAAGGTTGCCTGTCAGAGAGAGTCCACAACAAAGTGAAAATGGCTGAAAGTGAGCAAAAGTCAAACCAATAGGTATAGGCCATGGACAAGGATAATGGAGGAAGGACATGAGAGGGTGGCCAAGGCCCGGGCCCACAGGAGTTGTTGAAAAAAATCCAACAGTCAAACAGATATCCACAGGGAAAGAAAGATAACCTCTCAGTCCCTTCCTCACTTACCGGTCATTCCCAAAGTAGACACGGGGCCCACACGGTGGCCCTGGTGGAGTCCATACAGGTGCATCTTGTACTTGCGTCCAGGCTCCAGGTCCCCCACAGTGGCCTCTCTCTCCTCTCCTCCAACACGCACCACCTGGGGCCGCCCATCCCTGCCCTTGTACTGGATGGTGAAAGAGTCAAAGTGGCCTTGGGGCACAGTCCAGGAGAGGCTCAGAGAGTCAGGGGAGGCCTCGCCTGTCACTGTTAGCTCCCCCAGGAGTGGCTCCTCAGTGGGCTCTGGGGCCTCCGTGCTGGGTTCTGTGGGCCTGGGGGTCTCCTCCACCTCTGTGGGGCTGGGGGTCTCCTCCACTGCAGCTGAGAAGGAGAAAGAGAGAGGGTGAGGCAGGCTTCCTGGGAAGTGTCTCAGATCTTGCGGAGAAGAAGGGAGGAGCCACAGCCACCACTGGGGGTACTGAGGTCAGTTTAGATAAGCCCAAGTTCATCCTTGGGGCTGAGAGGCCCTGCTCAGCTGACAAGCATACCCAAACTCAAGGGCAGCTGGATGAAACTGGGGGCAGCTCCCAGCACAGCACAAGTTCCTATGGCCCTTCCCTTTCCAGAAGGAGACAGAGGTCAACCCCAGGGGAGACACAAAGGGGGCCATAGCCTCAGCCAAGAGCAGGCCTGTGGTTACTGACCAAGCCTCTGCCACTGTTCCCT